TTTTTAATACAAAGCAGTAAAAAGGTTTTGAACAAAAGCGATTGTGACCTATGCAAAACTGTTTTGATTCATGGAAATCATTATCAAAGTTCTGAATAGTTTTTGGTTTTAAAATTTTGAAATTTAAAACGAAATAAAGTCTTCAAAAAAATGTTCCCATAAATCATCTTTTCTGTTGATGTTTAAATTACAGCTATCAGTGATATTTTTCTGTTTCAATAGTGCAATTTACGGATCGATATTCACCAAAAAACCATCAAGTTTCTGAATTTATTTTTATTTCTTGTTTTTTTCAGCTTTTTTCTTGCACTTTTGAAATCAGCTTTTGTGTAATTTATTCATTTTCTAAATAAAATAAAATAACTAAAGTAACAGGATTTGTCCAGAAAGGCGTGCAATCACTCTGTTACTGACCACGCATATAATATTTGTAGCCTTGTAGGAAGTGAAAATGTTACAAAAAGAAAATGTTAGTTGCTACAACTAGGTCACGGCTTTCTTAGATGTTTAAAAACATTCAAGTCTATGTATGTTTTCATCTATTTCCGCAAAACAATAGTTTTTTAAAACACACCACAGTGGGTCAAAATGCCCATTTTTGTGCCAAAATTTTTTTTTTATAAAATTGATTTAAATAACATACTTTGAGCTTCTTAATATATTTGTGACTAAATAAAAAAGAAAATTTATTGTTTTTTTTTGATAATTAAAAATACAGCAAAAAAATAAAAAAAATATGCAGTTTTTCAATTCAAACAAAATCCACAGAATAAACATAAAAAAATTACAGTATAATTTTTTTGATAGGCATACAATTTTATGAAAAAATACTTTCTTGTCTTATCAACTCATTTAACTCATACAACTTTAAGGCAGCCATCAATGTCTGCATATATTTAAATGAAGTGTTTACAAATTTACAATGATATCTCCTGCTAATAACAACTCCAAAACCTCAACAGGAAAGTCTTTCTGTTTGAAGTGCAGGTTTGCCTCAATGATGCTATGACAGGATCAGATGAGCATAGAAATCTTTTCAAAATGTCCTCATTTGCCATATATCTTGAAGCTTTTCGAGCATGACGTTCACGAAACCGTTTAAAATATTTGTTTGTTGACTCCTGTGCTTCTTCACTCATCATACCAATTGGAAGTGACATTCTATTAATTATCGCTGGGCCGTGGATCAGCAGTTTGTGGAGGCTTTGTGGCATGTAGTACCATGGGTACAGCTTCACAAACAACTTTGCAGTTTTTGTACATATCACGGTAAACTTTTCAGTACTTATTTCATAGCCACTTGATATGGTTGACAAAATAATGTGCAGTTTTAAAATTAGTTCCTTATTGACACCTGTTATATTTGCAAAAGAAATGGCATCAGTAAATGCTCTTCGAGAAGTGTTGCCATCATTAGATGTACCAGATCCTCCAGACTTTGGTTGATCAACAACAAGGCCCATCTGATGAAGAAAAGCTTTTTGAATGTGAGACTTTGTGTCAGCAACTTTTGCTTTGTCTTCTGCTGTTCTTGCTTGCCACTTTTTGATGGGCAATTTGTAAACAATATGCAGAAAACATTTAAAACATCTAATCCAGCAATGCAGTGTAGATAAACCATACTGCAAGCCTTTTGCCTGGTAATTTCTTACTATGCTGGCATCAATGTTGTTCATCTCTTTTGGTGAGCATCCACAGATAGAACAACACTGACTTGAGTTAGTGGCCTCAGATAAAGCTGTGTGTACTTTTCCATCAATCATTGTTATTTCAATCACATGCTTTACTTAAAGTTCTTTGCCATTGTTTAATACAATTTTTGTGCAATTTAAATTCCTAATTTCTTCTTTTAGTTGAGCTTCTTCAGAGATTAATACTTGTTTAGACTCATTTTCAAACTGAAAACGCAATGGGCAACAATACAGAGTTGATGATGGTTTTGGGTTTCGCCTCAAAGTTGTCTTTTTTCCACCAGCAAATGTGCTCAAGTCAAGTGGTACAATGCATGTTAAAAACAAAGACTCTTCTATTTTTATATTACGGATACCACTTTCAGACACTGTTTGCTTATAGACACTTTTTCCTGTTGAGCCATCAAACCCTGCTTTGTGTCTTAATGTAGCAAATATGGTTGTATCACTAGCAACTGTTTCAATAACTTCATTCTGTACTTGACATAGTCTTTGTGCAGTGTGGTCTACCAAGCTCTGCATTGAGATTTTAGCAAAATAATCAGCTATCTCTTTTTCATTTGGATAGCAAGATAATTTTGCTGCCTTTATTATGTGATATGAAGGATAAAGTTCACAGTTTTTTCTCATAGCAACATTTCGATGTAGTTGATAGCCATCTTTGATTATATTTGTATCTAAAAGTAAAGCTAGAGCCTCATTGCCAGATAGTTGTTGACTTTTTTACTACTGTCAAAAATATTCTTTACTGCATGTAACTCATCAAGTTTATTTTCTTTTTTAAGAGTAACTTTTGCTGCAAAATGTAGTTCATTGGATGAATGCCCTTGTTGTAGAGAGTTGGTACGTCTGTACTTTGTTCAAAGAGAACACTCATCAAAATTCTCAATTGAAGGCCTGCCACATGTATTTTGTTTCACAGGAACATGAGTAAAAACATCAATCTCTGACTGTAGCCACTCTTTGTGTTTTTTTTCAAAACAAATACGGTTACCTTTTAAGTCCTGCCATCTTTTTCTCATGTGAATTGGCAATGTTTCCAGCTTAGGGTGAGGATTTACCAAATTCATGCCATTGATAACATCCTTTAAAACACCATGGTCAGAGATTTGTAATTTATTTTCTAGTATGTAGGTATATATATCAATCTATTTCATTTTATCCTATAAATTTAAAAATATACTCATTAGAAATCATTTTATCCTATAAATTCAAAAATATACTCATCAGAAATCATTTAAATGAAAGTATATTAGGTTTAAAGATGAAGAGTTTTATTTTAATTAAAAAAACCAAGTGATTAATTAAAAATTAATTTATTAAAAATTTATTAAAAATTGATTAAAAATCCTGTGATTTATTTGTCGCGGACAAAATTTTTGTTAGACCTTGCTATCTATAAGTTAATTTGTAGACAAGGTGGTACTTTGTTGAAGCTAATACTAACTTTAAATTATAATATGTATAGTAAGTAAGGATTTTAATGCATTTTCAGACTGGAGGATAATGGAGGATTTTTTAATTAAATAAAATAAGTAAAAATTTACACTAAAATAACCTGTAAAAACATATCATCTTAAAAACTTACAAGAAAAAAATGTGCAGCGAAGTTATTTGGTTTTAAAAAAGATCAATCTATCAATGTATAAAAAAATTATAGCGCAAATAATTTAAATTAAAAAGTAGTTTACAGTTTCTGTGTAGCAACACATTTATTTTATTTATTTTCATTTAAAAACTTACAAATCTAAATAAAAAATTTAACTTTAACAAGCCATAAAAAGTTTAATATAAAATCTAGTGGCTAAAAAATATCATTTTTTAAAAGCTTGATAAGTATGGAGAACTACTATTACCAATAAACCTACGTTGAACATAATTTGTTTTTTTTAATTTTGGCACACCTTGACCCACTGTGCATACTCTTAAAGAATTAGCTTTATTTTTAACTTAACAAATTTAAACATTTTTCTCTTAAATTTTGGGGCCATAAAAAATTGAAGGGCCCTAGGCTCCTGCTTAGTCCATCTATAGGTAAATCCAGGACTGGTTAACAGCTTAGCGTCACCAGATAGATCTAAAAGTAGCATGGACTCCGGCTTACCTTAAAACACCACAGACATTTCTTGGGATGATAAGAATGTTGCAAACAAACAGTCGCTGAAACAGTCGCCTAAGGACTTCACGATGTGTTAAAGGAATTCAACCTATAGGAATCAATTGTGATGATTGTTGCCAATACAACAAGTGTAAATACTATCAAGAAGACAGACGTTGTTGTTCGGCTAAACCGAATATTCGAAGAGAAAGGTTACCAAAAATCCAATTTCATCAGTTGCCAATAACCTGAGCTGGATCGCATTCTTCGCGTTGTCATGGACGTTGAGCATAATGGATTGACTAAATCACCAAACATTTAGTACTTCTTTGTGAAGGATTTGATGAGCAATTATGATAAATTGAAATTAGCTTTTAGCAACGGTAAAATGAGATTAACAATGAGAAACAGGCGACTGGAGAGACAACATGTAGTTTCTCTACTATCTCACTCGTGTCTTCCGTCACCACACTAAGATAAATAAAATACTCTTTGTAAAGTTTCAAATAATCCCAAATATCAGCAACCCTCGAGCCATTCTACTTCCTTTTTCGTTTATACTGATGCCTGAAACCCATAACGTGCTGCGTAAAATCTGTTTATTCATTTCCTACTTATGAGTTAACCATTGGTTTAACAGTCAATTTTTCTGCGCTGAAGATTTCAATGAAATATCTGCAGTGCTGAATGACTATTCAAAAAGTTTCCGATGCTTTGAAAACCAATAGAAAACATACGAATATATATGTTCGTATATATATATATATATATATATATATATATATATATATATATATATATATATATATATATATATATATATATATACTAAATAGTCGATGCATCGGTGGGTTACTAGAAATAAGAAATTAATTACATTTTTTAGTAAAATTTACTTTCTTTAAAATATATTGAATATATTTTTACGGGATATATTCTAATAAAGACTAAATATATTATTTACTACATATATCAATGGTACTAAACATTTCAATAACTTAAAAATAAATATTAATTTTTTTTTTATATATTATATAGCTAAGACCTTTTAGATTATCGTTGTATAACTAAAATGCCGCTCAAAAATTGCTTTAAAAGATTAGTAAACTTTAAACTTTACAATTAAAAGGTAGAAAACATTTAAACAAAATAAGGAAAAATAAATAAAACGCGTCAAAATGATTAAAATAAAAAAGTATTTTTTTTCTTAGAATTTCTACAACTGCATCTTGTCACATGGATTTAAGAAAGTATCCATTTGATAAGCAAACCTGTTATATCGCAATTGAGAGCTGTAAGTATAGTTAAACTTAAAGATTTATTTATGGATGAGGGGAAAACTTTGAACAGGGTTAGTTTTGAAAAATATATTTTCAAACCTTTTTTTTTTTATCAAAATTTAGTAAAAATAAATATTTTGCAAAGATAAAAGTTACTCTGTGCATCTATCGATTTTTGTTCATGATATTTGACATCAACCAGCTAATTTATATTTATTGTTATAGTTTGGATTATTGATATAATTTGAACAAAACAATCTTATTAATTAAGATTGTTTTGTTTGAAAAAACATTGTTTACAGTTTAAAATACTTTTCATTCGTGGAACCCTAAAAATCAACAGGGTTACTTGCACTTTGCGATACTTATTTAAATTTTGCTGTTTTAACTTTGGATCATTGTACTGATGACAATCGTTCTTTGATTTTCAAAGATTGCTATAGTCACGTGCTTGTTTTAAGCATACACTTAGGTATCACTTCATCTATTTGTGTGTGAAATTAGGTTTGCACCTTTTAACTATACTTTAATGTGCTATTACCTATCAACTCTTCACTCAATCACCTGTCTTTTTATTCTTTATCATTTTTCTTCTATTTGATGTTGTTTTAAATAAAATCTCTTTCTCTTTATAGTACTGTAGAATTTCTAGGTTTCACTAAAAAATAGTGAAACCTAGAAAAACTTTTTATAGAGACATATTATATATCATTAGAAAGATAATTTATTCAGCTTTCTAATGGTGTAAAAAAATGGCGGATCAAAATGTGAATGTAGATTTTTTCATTTTATTAAAAAAATTTAATAAATATGAAATAGTGTTCTTAGGTATCATAACTTGATTATTAAAAAAAAAAGTGTAACTCAATTGCTATGATGTTATTGAATGACTGAACAAAAGGAATTAAATATTTCTGAAAGCTTAAGTATTCATGTTATCATAAAAATGAATTTCTCTTTGAAATTGTAGCTATTAGGAAAAATATATAAAAAATACTTATATTTATCAATGATTTAAAACAGCTATGAATTAAATATTGAATTAGATATATAAAAAACTATTTTTGTAGTTGACTGTCTTCTTATTTAAAGGAAAATAATAATGAAAGTCGAAATTCAAACTGACATATCAAATCGAATAACGTTATATGTTAAATGCGGAGGTGTAAGAATTCATGATCATTTGAATCCAAAAAAAATCCAAATTGCAATAAATTTGAAGAAGTACGTAAAAAAAAAATCAGCCATACATTCTACATTCTTCCACCATCGAAATATGCCGCGATAGAGAAGACCAACTTGCTAAAACTATAAAAGCACGTTTAATTAATATGAATGATTTAGTAGCAACAGAAGACAGATATCATGTATCATGTAGAGCCAGCTTCGAGAACCCTTTACCAAAATATTCAAAATCTAGACGTCCTACTTGCAATAACAAAATGACATCAAAATCATGTCAATCAATGATGACGTTTATTCAATAAAAATGACCAAAATCAAATTAAAGGAAATGTACGGTGAGTCTTTACGCTTTGTTAAAAGAGAAGGCAGAAGCAATATAATTCAATTGGAAAGTGTTAGAGACATCTTATGTGAAAGATGGTACCAAAAAAAAAACACAATGTAAACGAGGAGAGAGAGCGTGTTGTTTTAACAGCTGCAAAACTTTTGAAAAATGTCATAAAGAATCATGACCACAATTCCAACGCATATCCTTCTAAAGAGAACACCCTAAACATTAAAGAAACCAATGTACCTCAATTATTAAAAACATTTATTAATAAACTAGTTCAAGCACCTTCAAAACAGGTTTCAATATCACAAGTTTTATTTTCTGGAACACGTCCCAGGTCTATTATGTCAATGCAGTTTGGACTTAGCGTTGCTGTCAATAACCGTCTTTCATCAAAATAGATGAACATATTTTTATCAAAATTGGGATTCGATGTTAGTTATGAAGAGGTAAGTTTCATTTCATTAAAGTGCTCGTATGTATAGTATTTACTTGTATAATAATAAAAATGCGTATTATTTATTTTTATCAGAATCCCCAGAATCCGAACAATACCAATATTTATGTAATTTTTTTAGGTTATCCATTACAAACAGAATGTTTTTAAGCATGATACTATCCACGAGATCATCTTTGGAGAAGGAACCTCCTTTCTTCAGTTTGTTGCTGACAATACAGACCATAATATTGCTATTGTTGATGAAAAAAATACGCACCATGGACTTGAGTCAATTGCAATTGCAAATGGAAAAGTAATAGATGTTTCGTTCAAAAGAAATAAACTTCCAAGAGATAAAAAGGAACTATGGTCAAATATCACGTCAAAAGATGGGATAATGATTCGCCAGTACTACGTGAATGACATACCTTCATTAACAAAAACAATATTCAAACCAGTCATTCAGGTTTGTTATGCATACTGCAGTTTAAAAAAATATCTACAAAGTATGAAAACTGATTGTTTTATTTAATTTTAGGAAAAAATTCAAGCTCGATTTTTTGATCTTTTATGGAACATTGGCTACCTTTTCAAAAATCCATGTCCATGTTTGTCTGGCTACATGAGTTCTGCAACAAATAATATTGTAAAACAGAAATCTAACATTGCTGTATTACCTGTGATTGATTTACACACCACTGATTTGACAGCCCTATATTCACTACTTTGCTTCATCATTGATCGGCCAAAAAAGTAAATGTTACAATTCCATCTATAACATTTAATCAGCAGCTTTACATAAAAACATACGAAATAGTCTTTACAAAAAACTTAGATATATTTGTTCGTCTTGGAGGTTTACATCAACTTATAAGTTTTCTAGATTCAATTGGATGTATGATGGAAGGAAGCGGTTTGAGAAGTGCTCTTAAAACAATCAATGCTCAAGAGTTTATACTCCTGCGTATCTATTCAAGACGAAATTGTTACAACCAATTAATTAACATTTTTTCTAAGAATGGTTGTTGTTGTTGAAAGAAAGCCAGAGAATAAGGGGAAGAGTTACTTTCAATATGAGTTATCACCGTATCCAACATCCTTATTTAAAGGAGGCTTCATGAGATCAGTACAAAAGTCAACATTAAAAACATTCATACTCAAAAATGTATCACTAGTGAAAGATTGTATCAATCAAGATTGCTGATGGGGGCGTATTATTGTGGTACTGCAATTGGAAAAAAAATGAGTTATTTAGTGACATTTTTCAGAAATACATAGATTTTTCTCAACACTTACAACTTGACACAATCATTTTTGATGGTTATCAGTCGTCCACTAAAGAAAGTATCCACCAAAAGCAATCTGGTAAGATTTCACAAACAGTTGAAATCAATGATCTCAACTGATACCCAGCAGAAAGAAGTATTTTCCTAAGTAACTACAAAAACAAAAACTATTTTGTCAGGCTTTTAGCATTGAAGGAACAAAACAATGGTTTTAAAGTTATTTGTTGTCCCAGTGATGTATACACAAGTATTGTTAAGCTAGCGCTTGAGGTTGACAACGTTGAGTCAGTCACAATTTATTTGGATGACACTGATATTTTATGTCTATTGGTACATCATGAACATATTGAAGCACAACCTCAAGGCATCTTTTTAAAAATGTTGACACGAAATAAGGCTACAGATCAAAGAGTATGTTTTAAAATTCAGATTTATTATTACTGCAGATTTATTCTATAAGAAAAATATTTCTGCTGATGATATTGGCAAGAGAGCTATTCGTTTTTTTGAGCTGCTTTATTCACCTTGTTTCAATCGACAGATCAGAACAGAACACCTTGTTTAAATCGACAGATCAGGAAACATAAATATGATGAAATGGTGGCATCTGATCGTGCAAGTATTGATCCTGCTCTATTACCACCATCACCAAGAGCTGCATATTATCATGGACCCAGAGTTTATCACCAAATTAAAGTATGGAGAAATTTGAGTGACGTTGATTTAGATCCATTGAGTTAGGGATGGGTAATGCAAATTCAAATGCATGCACCAATTAAGACAGGTATAGAAGCACGTCCTAGCACGATATTTTGAACATTATCAGATGTGGCTGCAAAGGTTCATGTGGAAATAAATGTATTTGTTGAGAAGCTGGATTAAATTGTACATCATCTTGTAAAGAGTGCCATGGCGTAATATGCACTAGCGGTAATATTAATATTCCAAAAGAAGACATTGAAGAGGAAAAAAGACATTTTTTTGATGCTTTTGAGATATGAAAGATTATTTTTATATTTAAAATATATTTATATATAATTCAAAAAATACATATGATTTCAGATTATTTTGTATTTTCTTATAAATATTGGGTTATTTTAACGAGAATCTCCGTGAATGGGGGAGGGGGAAGAGCATCCTGGAAAATATTTTTTCCAAATTTTAAAAATCAGGTATAAAATTTAATATAAATCATAAATATATATAAAAGAAATATTTTTCCTCCTTTTCTAGGTAAATCCTTTTTTTCTAGGTAAATACCGGAGTTAGCAATAATCCATTATTCACCTTTTCATCTGCCATTTTTTTTGCTCAACTCCAAAAAATTGACAAGATATATTATTAAAAACCTGATAAAATTATCTTTCCATTAAATTTCTACATTAAAATTAGGTATATAAGGTGACTGGGATTCTATTGTTTTATTTGTGGCTCTTACATTGTGTTGTGATGGTCCTATGGTTGATCTCTTTAATCTTTTTACCTAAAACTGTACTTTTGTTATAAACTCTTCGAATTGGGTAGACATGAATTTATTTGATTCCTCTAGTAGGTTCCAAGTCAACCCTTACTTTACTTCCAGATTATTTTCTTTTTGTGCAGCTGCTATTTTTATTGGTGATCAAGTTTTTTTTTTTCATAAAAACAACAATCAAAACAGTAAAATTGTTTGCATAAAAGCGTTTCTTTTAATTTATCTTTTGAATTTAGGGTAAAGTAGGGTAATTTCGGCGTATTAAGCTATTTTGCTGTTTATAGACAACGGTTGCTTTA